TATTTGTGAAGACTGTCCCTGTGACACATTGTCGGGGAGAGAGGGGAAGAACTCATCATGGCAAGGAACCACCCTGCTCGGCGACGTCGCGACTTATCCTTGCCATTGCCTCCGCCCCCCGTGGTGGCATTCGTACGCAGGTACTAGCCGACCACGTTTCTGTTCTAGCCACAAGGAGAAACAGATGGTTAGCCTCAAGAATCGCCCTTGCCTGTTCCCTGGGTGAGTGTCTCTGTGTTGGTGTCGCTTTGAGGGGTCGGGACCACGTGTCTTGCTCCGGAATTCAAGCTCAGGATGGGGTATAGCCTACGGCGGTAGTGCACACGAAGTTCTCGAGCGTTATGAAAAAGAGGTTGACCAGGTGCGATGCCTCGAGGATTTGGGCCACAAACAAGGAACCGTTTTTTCGCTGATCGGAAGATCAGGCAGACATAGAGTGCAGGCGATGTAGAATGGGTGTTGCGCATGGTAGTCACATCCAGCGCCCAGGGAGGCTTGTCATGGCCAAACTCGTCAACCAATCGGCCGCTACAACGCTGGAATCAATCGGTCGACTTCAGGTGTGACATCAGACCCCACTACGGGTTTTCAATGGGGCGCGCCGTGTATTGCGTCAGCCACAAGAAGGATGGGATGGTGCATCTACTGAAAGAGGCCAAGAACCTGGAGAAAGGATCACTCGAAAGGTGGCCTAGGGCACACACTTGTCCGAGACTGCAACACACTACCTTGCTTGACTTCGTTTGTTCCTCTACTGGGCGGAGTCTTGTGTGTCTCGAGCCATCAGGACGATTGAGTGTCGTCCCAATTTGTTCCACACGATGCACAAGCTGCTAGAGGATAACGCCGTGTAGCAGCGTTCACACTTGCCTAGCCCTCGTTGCAATACTTGATACCCACGTGCTGTTTTTTCTAGCTTTTGAGATGACCCGCTGGCTCCCTTGAATGTTCAACAGAAAACGTCGTGTGTGCGGCGAAGTCGAGAGGAATTTGGCAAAGGGGGACTCTGGGCACAATGGCGAGGAGCAGGCCGGATCGGCGGAAGCCAGCCTGCAGCAGCAGAAGACGAAGAAGGCGCCGAAAAGGGGAGGGACAAAGCGCCCTTCCGGTAGTCATGGAAAACCCACGAACAAGAAGAGGAGCAAGAACACAGCAGCGTCTCCATCGCATCGGCGTACCGCGGGACAGTCGGCATTGGCCCCTTCCGACGATATGCGGCTCCTGCGAAATGCCAGACAGTCCGCGCACGAAGAAGCAAGTGGGTCCGGTCGTAGAGCGCGCGTCCCGTCCCGCAAGGTCCTAGAGGCTGCAGGGAAGATGGCCGACGAGACCGCGCAGTGGATGACCAAAGAGAAGAAGGAGGAGCAGGCCAGGATCAACAAAAAGTTCCGGGCGCAGAGGAAGGCGGCGGTGGCAGCGGGGCCGAAAATCGGGGAAGTCATCGAAGCCACCGCATCTCCTTCACCCCGTGTTGAGAGCGAGGAGGATGGCCTCGGAAGCGGCGCAACTTCGATTCGTGGTGGAAGATCGCCGGTGTCGAACGTCTCCTGGCGCAAGCTCACTCCGACGGAAATCCTTCTGGCAGCCGGTAAGAAACCCTTCGTGGAAGGCGCTGCATCCGAAGTCCGTGGCAGCGATGCCGCCATGGCCGAAATGATGGATGAACACGTTGTGGGTAAGCAGCCGGAACAGACACCAGTCGCTTCAGAAGACGGAGATCGGTCGGAGAGGAAGCCAGCAGAAACGACGGCCTCCGACGCTGAGATGAGCGCACAGGCTACCTCTAACGCATTCACCGAGAGCAGTCTCGAACACCACAAGAAGAACCAGGTCGAACATAGCAGTGCCCCCAGCGAGAGCGACAAGGGAAGATACCGGGTGCAGCAGGCCGGGCGACAAGCGAGCGCTGTCAAGGCCATATGCGAGCTCAACAGCTGCTCGAGGACGGCCAAGTTTGGTGTCCACGGCATCGTGCGCTACTGGTGAGCAGTGGTCTGTACCGTTTGTGCAGGGCTGGGGTCCGATAGTCAATGTGGCTTAAGGACTGAGGCGTAGCACGGTCTAGTGCGAAGAGTGGCTCCGAAGAACCGGGAAACACGGGCAATTCCTGCCACTTTCAGCGCAAGTCCTATGATGCGTTACGCTTTCATGGTCACTCACGAACACAGCTACACAGGGTTAGCGTACGCTAGGTGGCTCGTCGGAACCACAGTTCCGTTGGGGCGTGTCTTGAACTCATCAGAACAAGCGCAAATACTTTGTTCAGTTGCTGAATGGTCTTTCTTCAAATGGTCCAGTACCGCATATAAATTGCCGATTCATAGCACATACATGTAGGGGGGCGTCAACAATTTCATGCCGCACGTCGAAATATCATTTGCTCTCTGCCAATAGTGGTACTGAGGGGCGGCAAGCCAGAACCGGTCTCTCCTGGTCTCGTCTCGCCGCTGCATGCCTGCTGCTCGACCATCTAGGTTCTGACCAATCGTTTTGCCCGCCCTCTCTCTTCCTCCTGACCTACGCATAGCTCCAGGCACCGTATTTTCGGGATGCACAAGATCGTCGGGGTGAAGAAAAAAGCCTGAATGTTTCCGGTGAGACCGCTCTACAATAGCCGAAAACGGCCTGGGTGTCTGGTGGCAACACAGGGCAGCACGTCCGGCATGTTGACAAGCGGCGTGAAAGGTCCAAGCGTCACCCTCCAGGATGGGAAAATCGAATCAGTAGGAAAGAGTGGCTTCAGCTTGATATACTAAAAACCCGGGTGCTGTACATGTAGACTATATGGTCAACATGTATATACATGATCTTGTGTCTGAGAATAGAAACGGGGGGTGCCATATCAGTGTTGACCAGTGCTGTTTTGTTCACGATCGGTGGCGCAATGCGCTTGCTGGCCCACATTGCGATATGAATCGCATCCCTGCGGATCGTGTGAACGTGAGCCAGGACTGCCCCTTGATATATGCCGATGTTGACCTTGTATCGTCTATTGTGGGTATCCTCAGTCTTGATATTTTGATGCATTCGATCTGATACGGTGTAGACATTGGTTGCTTTTTTGTCTGCGGATGGGAACGTAGTCAGGTATGCCGGTTGACCTTTTCTCGAGTTGCGCGGTCTTGTCCACCGCGGACTTGCCAGCTACTGCGGAATTGGGTATATATTTGCAGTATGAAACATTGGAGGTTGAAAACTACCCACACAAAGGAAAAACATATTTTGGATGTTTCGTCGCTCAGTTCGCGACGGCTTGTGCACGGCTGAGACAGAAAAATCATGCAAGTATGCAAAAGCCCATCGAGTACTCTCTTCCTTCGTCTTTGAATTGGGCCCGGCAGTCATGGTCAACCTGTGGGGCTCCACTCCGGTAATCGCAACGTTCAGAGTAGCTCCGGAGTTTGGTTTAGAGTGGGCGTAAAACGCCGTCACTGTGTCAATCGGCGTAGATCGGGGGGGAACATGCTGCTCTCCCAGAATAGTTGTCGGCATCTTTTAGCTTCGTATTGTGGCCAACAACAGACGATGCTGACAGCTTCAGAAAACAAGGCAAAACTCGAGCGGATATCGGGGCTGAAACACCCCCGCCCTCGATTGTGCTCGCAATTACATGATCGTCCCATCACCTCCTCGGACGAGCAAGTCTTTCTGCTAGCGATCAAAGCGGGGTTCGTCATACATCGAAGTAAAGGCCTGCATGCTCTTGATTCCGTTCAGATGTTCAGCCAGAGACTTGGGGTACTGCATTGTCACGTGTCGCTACAAGGTCATATGGCACCCCTCTTATCCGGTGCCTGCACCTTGTACTTCTTCAAGCCCACCCACATCATGGTCCCTGCTCTAAACGCAAAATGCTCCAACAACAACCCAAGACAGATCCCAATATCTCCCCCTCGTGTTATAAAAACCAAAAAACGGTGAGCGGTACTGCATATCGACGGGTCAGCCCCTCGAGATATGGCCTTGGAGTACACGCGCAGCTATCGCATGCGGCCATTAGAAAACGGCACGGCTATTTGGGACAACGTTGTCCCAAATTTTTATTTGGGACAACACGTCTAACTCGGCGTAGAAAGCTCGGATCGACCTCAAACCAAGTTTGTTGTAATCCTACTGGACACAGCTTTCACGGAATGTATTTAGAGTCCACAACGGAGCCAGGGCCGAGGAGATAGAGCCTAAAAAAGGAGCTCCGTGGGTTCNTGGGACAACGTTGTCCCAAATTTTTATTTGGGACAGCACGTCTAACTCGGCGTAGGAAGCTCGGATCGACCTCAAACCAAGTTTGTTGTAATCCTACTGGACACAGCTTTCACGCAATGTATTTTGAGTCCACAACGGAGCCGGGGCCGAGGAGATAGAGCCTAAAAAAGGGGCTCTGGCTTCGGTAAATCCACGTTTTCCTCCATAACTCGGCCCAACCACCTCCGAAACACCCCCAAAGACCTTTGTTGTGCTTGTATGATCCACAGCTATCATCCAAGCCATTGGGTGGCCTTACCTGACCTGTACATGCGGAGATATGCCCTCCCAAGGGGCACCGCAGGATTATTGGGAGGTGTCCTGTACATATCCGCGTC